AGCCTGAACATATTCAAAGTCTTCAGCAAATAGGGGTTATAGAAAAATGTGTGTGAATTACTGAAGAAAATAATGTAGCTATAAAGGAATGTGGATATATGTATGAAATCAGTGATCACTAGTAACCTGGGAGGTAGCAAACAGTCTGAACACCTTTGTTTCTGGACATTCTACGGCCATACTGCCCAGGAGGCAGAGTAGGGGAGTTGCTGGTTTGATATTACCCCAGAAACTGAAGTGGACCTAATTACCCGTGTCTTTGAAGTGTGACCAGGTAATTCACAGCACTGTGACAAGCTACCAGGCCCTACTAATACACATGCGTATTATATTGCCTCTTTCAGGCTTGAGAAAATAGTAGTAATTGCAATGCAAAATGTGGAGTGACTTAATATCTGTGTATGCAAGGTTGTGATGGAGCATTTACAGGGAGGGAAGTCCCTAAAATTCACTGCAAGGCCTGTGCACCCTTTCTGTGCCCCAGTGTCCTTTTTATGTCATCTCATTTAATAGCCTTCCAAACGGATGGGGAAGGTATGTGTTTCAACAGGAGCAATGAAAGAATCCTCAATGAAAAGGGTTCCTATAACTTTCCAGAAGACCAAAAGTTGGCAAATTAAAAACCTAAGATTAGAATCAGGTCTGTCCAATTCCAAAAGTGACTTGTTCCAAAAGTCCACGAGCCATGATCCAACCACACTGAAGGTACTCAGGCCCTTAGCATCACTGAGCAAAATTTAGGAGATGGTCACTGGTCTCTATACGTAAGCTCCCTTATCTTCCAGAAATGAACAGAGTGCTGGTTCTGCACAGTATGCAAGAGGGATGCACAGATTTTTGGCTGTCACAATTGCAAGTACTTAAATATATTCAAATCCAGAAAGAAATCTGACTCTAACTGTGGAAGTGGATCAGGGATCTGAATAATGAAGGATATAAAGATATAAAAATTTTTAAACATAATGCAGCTTCATACACAAAATGATCTGTAAGAAATATATAATTCCATTTTAGCTCACATAAATACTGTGACTCATAAGTAGATTTTAAAGTGATAAGAAAATACTAGAATATACATATATGTGTGTGTGGAGAGAGAGAGACATTTGACATAAATGCCAGCCATCATCATTCTAAGCCTTCTCCATGCAGTTATCTCATCTGATCATTGTAACATTTGTACAAGGTAAGTACACAATTTCTGTCAATTTTACAGAAGAGAAACCTGAGCAAGAGAACTTAGGTAGCTTTCTCAAGGTCACACAAATCATAAATGCATTTGAACCTATGCAGACTTAGTGCATGTGTATAATTAACATTAATGATTTGGGTATTGGTTTCGTGTAAAAATGAGGTCATCCCAAGGAACAGCAGGGAGGGCTACATGAGCTAACCCCCACCTTCCACGTGTCCCACTCAGTATGCCACAGGAGATATTTTTCTTGTTTGAGGACAAAAATATTTTGCTAATTTCTTATTCTTTGTTTATGGATGAGTCACCATTCGATTTTCTTTCCTGAACTAACAAGTCAGTCTACTTTGATCTTGACCTAAATCGCAAGAGACAATTTATTTGGATTGCATGAGCCTACTTTGTCAGTTGTTCTCAGTTTCATTCCTGTTAGTCATGGGAGCTTGGTCAGTGTGTTTTGTGAGTGATGTTTCAAGGATTTTGGTTTTCTACTACTGATCTGGATTAACTACCACCTTTGCCATGATGGTTCCAGAGCTATGTGACAGCAGCCATGACAGCTGGATACGTGGGGCAAGTAAGTTTCACTGAGTGAGTGACAATAAGGGGAAAAAATTTAAAAAGAAAATACAAGGCAAACTAAAAATGCTGACTTCTTTACTTAAGGAGGAAAATTACTAAAGTAAGTGAGGTGGGGGTGGGGAAGCCCTTCTGCAAAGTAATGGAAAAATTTAGAAAAATATGTAGACCTTTAAATCTGCAAGAAAGGGCATAAGCTTGTGTGTATGAAGATACTTGGGGTGAATTTCTATGGCATGTGTATCATATCCCAATAAAAATGTTTTTTAAATGTACTTTTGCAGGAAAGAAAGATAGTGTTTAGTACAATTTTGCTCCATCTTGTAATCAAGATTGCTTTTTGTGATTCAACTGGCACAGACTGAGGATGGGTAGAGATAAGCTAATGTCTGGCTAACATGAATGAAGAGGCTTCTGAATGGCTGATCTCAAAGTCTGGTTGACTTTGAGAATCCGGGCATCTAGCATTTTCTGTTGTTTCCCCAATATCATCTTGATTTTATGGGAAAAAAATAATGGAAGTTGTGGAAGTCTGGAAGGTGGCTTAAGGATACATAATGAGACTGAAAAGAGCTTTTAAAGAAATATAAGGGTGGACTGAGCCTAACAGAGATGTTGATTTTTAGTGCATGAAATACAAGCAGACAAACTAACTTTGGCTCCGGGACATGGAATCATCAGGCCAGATAAAAGAAAGCGAAAGCAGAAATTAAAAATTTTCTGTACGGGGAGGGGATAGCTCAGTGGTAGAGTGTGTGCCTAGCATGCACGAAGTCCTGGGTTCAATCCCCAGTACCTCCATTAAAAAAAGGAAATAAACCTAATTACCCCTCCCCCACAAAATTCCTATAACTGTATCTTCTTTCCTGCGTCTTTACACTGCTGTGTCTCCAAACTGCAGGCTCTGAGTCTTACCTCTCACTTACTATTCATGCACAAACACACACGCTCACACCCATGAACACGTGCATGTGCACGCACTCACATAGAGAAGCCTGAGTTCTCTGAAAGGGTTTCTGGCGGTTCCTCACATTACATTCGCAAATCTATATGCTGTTTTCCTGCTTATGTACTTTCCCCAGGTTTTTTTTTTAGAGAGTAAAAGCAGAAATCTATGCTGAACTGCTATTTTCTCAAGTCACTAAGGAACTTCTTCAAGGATCAATTATTAATGGAATGACTCATTTCTCATCTGAGGAAGTCTCCCTGATATCACTGAAAAATAACAAAGTGATAAATTTGTGTGTTAAAACTGTTAAGAGATATGAAGTATAAAGAAGGAGTCTCAGAAACAATGAAGAGGAAGGGGTTGGAGTACCCTTAGCAGTAATAGAAGAAAAAAGATCAGTATTTAAGAAAATACGACTCCCAAATTTGAAAAAGCATACACATTGCTGAGCAAGAAAAATTTAAAAGATTTCATAATTCGATCATTTATACTAAACGTCAAAACATCAAGAATAAAGAGAAAATTCTGGAAGCCTTCAAAGGGCAGGAAAACAAAACGAACTTTAAGAGAATGAAAATCTTTCTCTCGACGGTGTCTTATCATCTGCAGTAACTGCATGTAAAGACAACAGTGCAATATCAGGTTTATAAAGGAGACAGTGTTTTAAATTCAAGTTGTTAATTGCCTATTATTCAGATGTTAGAGAAAATTTTTCAGATGTAGTGATTTAATCACTACTCACAGAATTGTACAAATAAATTCAAACCAGAATGCAAGTGGGACATAAGAACTGGTAGAGAGCAGTCCTAGCAAACTAAAACATGATGCGTTTACAAACTTACATAAAAGGAAGTAAACAGATTTTTAAAAAATCTCTCTCTCTTTCTTTCTCTCTCTCTATATGTATATAGTTCCAAAATATAATGAGGAAAAAGAAATCATTAAAATAAATATTACAGAAGTGGAAATAGTAAAGCAGAGTAAATCTCCCTTTCTTTCAATGAACAATTCTTGTACATCTTGCTCTGAAAAATAGCATAAAAAGAGAAATCTGCCCAGTTCTTTTTAATAAGCTAGTGTAAGTTTGATTTTTTAAATTTTTTTTTAATTTTTGAGGCGGGGTAATGGTTTATTTAATATATTTAGTAATTTGTTTATTTAAGATATTTATTTATTTTAATAGAGGTACTAGGGATTGAACTCAGGACCTCACTCATGCTAAACATGCATTCCACCACTGAGCTATACCCTACCCCCTCTGTAAATTTGATTTCAAAACAAGCTAAGAACAAGACAGGAATAGACAACTTCTCTTATGAAATTGGAAGTAGAAATTCCAATAAAATATCAGTTAATTAAATATAACAATATAGTTAAAAATTCGCATTTAAGTGGATTTATCCTGGATATGCTTTGATATAACAAAATCAGTTAGGGTAGGCTACCTGATTAACAAACTTAAAAAATAAAACCCCTTGATTTTTCAATAAATACATACACAGAGCACTGATAACATTCACTGTCTATGTAAGATAAATCCTCTTAGGAAACTAGGACTTAGAGAGTACCTCTTTAATTACTAATATGTTAATTTTTAATTGAGATATAATTGGAGTACAGTATTATATAAGTTATAGGTGTACAATATAGAGAGTCACAATTTCTAAAGATTATAATCCATCTATAGTTATCGTAAAATGTTGGCTATATTCCCTGTGCTGAACAATATACCCTTAGACCTTATTTCATGTATATTAATTTGTATGTCTTGATCCCCTATATTGCTCCCTCTCCCCTCTCCCCGCTGGTAAACCACTAGTTTGTTCTCTACATTTCTCAGTCTGCTTTTTTTGTGGTAGTTTCCAGAAGACTCTGAGGTTACTGCAACCACTAGTAGGTGAAGCCAGGTCCAGGGGTTAGTGCCGGCCTATCGGCAGGCAGAGCCAGGTTCTGGGCTCTGGTTTCAGGGCCCAGGTATCCCGGAGCTGGTGTTAGATTTCTGGGGCAGGTAGGGGGTTGGGAGTTGCCAGTTCCTGTTACAATTGTGTACATGGTCCAGCGTGTCTTGAAACTTGTCCTGGCCTCCTAGTGGGCAGGGCTGGGGCCCAGCTGGTCCCAAGGCAAAGCCGGGCCTGCTGTGGGCAGGTGGGGTCAGCAGGCTATGGCATTGTGGTTTTCTTGCCTCTGGTGTCTGCCCACTGGTGGATGAGGCTGGTCCAGAGTCTGGAGTGGGCTCCCTGGAGGGCAAAGTCAGGGCCCTGAGAATTCTGGAACGGGCGTCTGCCCACTGGCGGCTGTGATGGGTCTGGGCCCTTTGGTGGGAGGGACCAGCCATCTCCTGTGGCTGCTTTGGGCTCAGGAGACTTGAGGCAACCTGTCTGCCAGTGGGTGGGGCTATGTCCCTACCTAGTCGGGTGCTCGGCTTGAGGTGTTCTAGCGCAGGCGTCCACAGGCAGGCAGTGGGCAGGCCTTGACGCTGATGCACTGGAGGGCGGACCGCAGAACGGCACATTCCAGCTCTGCCAGCATGGAAGAGCCTGTCCAAAATGTCTACCTCCAAAGTCCGCTTAAGCAGGATGAGCCACAGCTGCCCCGCGTCTCTCCAGGACACACTCCACGACCACCAGGTAAGTCTGGCCCAGGCTCTGACCAAATGACTGCTTTCGCCCTGGGTCCTGAAGTGGGTAAGATTTTGTGTGTGCCCTTTAAGAGTGAAGTCTCTATTTCCCCAAGTCCTTTGAGAATCCCCAAATTAGGCCCCGGTGGCCTTCAAAGCCGAGTGTTCTGTGGGCTTGTCTTCCTGGCCCAGGACCCCCGGGCTGGGGAGCCGGATGGAGGGCTCAAAACCCTCACGCTGCAGTACAATTATTCTCCAGGTTGTGGGTCGCCCCTCCCAGAGTATGGGACTTGGCTATACTGCGGGTCCAGCCCTCCCTCCTACTTGTCTCTTTGCGGTTCCTTCTGCATGTCTTTAGCTGTAGAAGATCTTTTCCAGTAGCTTCTGATCTTTTTCACTGATGGTTGTTCTGCAAATAGTCGTGGTTTCAGTGTGCTTGTGAGAGGAGGTGAGCTCACGGTCTTTCT